TTGGGAATGAGATCTATACCTCGGGCACGATCATGGCGATTTTCGCGGACAACGAGAGGATTATTTCGAGGGTCACTGTGGACAATGTGAGTGGTTTGAAAGGGTGGAGGGGGGTGAGGGAGAGTGGAGTTGGGTGGGGCTATGGTGTGTGGGGTGGGAATGTGAGTGGTTTTGACCTGCGCTGCCTCTGCAAGCTTATGAACCGCGTGCCAGCAGTTCAGGCCCGGGCAGGACCAGCTAGCGCCGTATGTGCCGCTGCTGGACCAGCTGGTCGGGAATGAGATCTATACCTCGGGCACGATCATGGCGATTTTCGCGGACAACGAGAGGATTATTTCGAGGGTCACTGTGGACAATGTGAGTGGTTTGAAAGGGTGGAGGGGGGTGAGGGAGAGTGGAGTTGGGTGGGGCTATGGTGTGTGGGGTGGGAATGTGAGTGGTTTTGACCTGCGCTGCCTCTGCAAGCTTATGAACCGCGTGCCAGCAGTTCAGGCCCGGGCAGGACCAGCTAGCGCCGTATGTGCCGCTGCTGGACCAGCTGGTTGGGAATGAGATCTATACCTCGGGCACGATCATGGCGATTTTCGCGGACAACGAGAGGATTATTTCGAGGGTCACTGTGGACAATGTGAGTGGTTTGAAAGGGTGGAGGGGGGTGAGGGAGAGTGGAGTTGGGTGGGGCTATGGTGTGTGGGGTGGGAATGTGAGTGGTTTTGACCTGCGCTGCCTCTGCAAGCTTATGAACCGCGTGCCAGCAGTTCAGGCCCGGGCAGGACCAGCTAGCGCCGTATGTGCCGCTGCTGGACCAGCTGGTTGGGAATGAGATCTATACCTCGGGCACGATCATGGCGATTTTCGCGGACAACGAGAGGATTATTTCGAGGGTCACTGTGGACAATGTGAGTGGTTTGAAAGGGTGGAGGGGGGTGAGGGAGAGTGGAGTTGGGTGGGGCTATGGTGTGTGGGGTGGGAATGTGAGTGGTTTTGACCTGCGCTGCCTCTGCAAGCTTATGAACCGCGTGCCAGCAGTTCAGGCCCGGGCAGGACCAGCTAGCGCCGTATGTGCCGCTGCTGGACCAGCTGGTTGGGAATGAGATCTATACCTCGGGCACGATCATGGCGATTTTCGCGGACAACGAGAGGATTATTTCGAGGGTCACTGTGGACAATGTGAGTGGTTTGAAAGGGTGGAGGGGGGTGAGAGAGAGTGGAGTTGGGTGGGGCTATGGTGTGTGGGGTGGGAATGTGAGTGGTTTTGACCTGCGCTGCCTCTGCAAGCTTATGAACCGCGTGCCAGCAGTTCAGGCCCGGGCAGGACCAGCTAGCGCCGTATGTGCCGCTGCTGGACCAGCTGGTTGGGAATGAGATCTATACCTCGGGCACGATCATGGCGATTTTCGCGGACAACGAGAGGATTATTTCGAGGGTCACTGTGGACAATGTGAGTGGTTTGAAAGGGTGGAGGGGGGTGAGGGAGAGTGGAGTTGGGTGGGGCTATGGTGTGTGGGGTGGGAATGTGAGTGGTTTTGACCTGCGCTGCCTCTGCAAGCTTATGAACCGCGTGCCAGCAGTTCAGGCCCGGGCAGGACCAGCTAGCGCCGTATGTGCCGCTGCTGGACCAGCTGGTTGGGAATGAGATCTATACCTCGGGCACGATCATGGCGATTTTCGCGGACAACGAGAGGATTATTTCGAGGGTCACTGTGGACAATGTGAGTGGTTTGAAAGGGTGGAGGGGGGTGAGGGAGAGTGGAGTTGGGTGGGGCTATGGTGTGTGGGGTGGGAATGTGAGTGGTTTTGACCTGCGCTGCCTCTGCAAGCTTATGAACCGCGTGCCAGCAGTTCAGGCCCGGGCAGGACCAGCTAGCGCCGTATGTGCCGCTGCTGGACCAGCTGGTTGGGAATGAGATCTATACCTCGGGCACGATCATGGCGATTTTCGCGGACAACGAGAGGATTATTTCGAGGGTCACTGTGGACAATGTGAGTGGTTTGAAAGGGTGGAGGGGGGTGAGGGAGAGTGGAGTTGGGTGGGGCTATGGTGTGTGGGGTGGGAATGTGAGTGGTTTTGACCTGCGCTGCCTCTGCAAGCTTATGAACCGCGTGCCAGCAGTTCAGGCCCGGGCAGGACCAGCTAGCGCCGTATGTGCCGCTGCTGGACCAGCTGGTTGGGAATGAGATCTATACCTCGGGCACGATCATGGCGATTTTCGCGGACAACGAGAGGATTATTTCGAGGGTCACTGTGGACAATGTGAGTGGTTTGAAAGGGTGGAGGGGGGTGAGGGAGAGTGGAGTTGGGTGGGGCTATGGTGTGTGGGGTGGGAATGTGAGTGGTTTTGACCTGCGCTGCCTCTGCAAGCTTATGAACCGCGTGCCAGCAGTTCAGGCCCGGGCAGGACCAGCTAGCGCCGTATGTGCCGCTGCTGGACCAGCTGGTCGGGAATGAGATCTATACCTCGGGCACGATCATGGCGATTTTCGCGGACAACGAGAGGATTATTTCGAGGGTCACTGTGGACAATGTGAGTGGTTTGAAAGGGTGGAGGGGGGTGAGGGAGAGTGGAGTTGGGTGGGGCTATGGTGTGTGGGGTGGGAATGTGAGTGGTTTTGACCTGCGCTGCCTCTGCAAGCTTATGAACCGCGTGCCAGCAGTTCAGGCCCGGGCAGGACCAGCTAGCGCCGTATGTGCCGCTGCTGGACCAGCTGGTTGGGAATGAGATCTATACCTCGGGCACGATCATGGCGATTTTCGCGGACAACGAGAGGATTATTTCGAGGGTCACTGTGGACAATGTGAGTGGTTTGAAAGGGTGGAGGGGGGTGAGGGAGAGTGGAGTTGGGTGGGGCTATGGTGTGTGGGGTGGGAATGTGAGTGGTTTTGACCTGCGCTGCCTCTGCAAGCTTATGAACCGCGTGCCAGCAGTTCAGGCCCGGGCAGGACCAGCTAGCGCCGTATGTGCCGCTGCTGGACCAGCTGGTTGGGAATGAGATCTATACCTCGGGCACGATCATGGCGATTTTCGCGGACAACGAGAGGATTATTTCGAGGGTCACTGTGGACAATGTGAGTGGTTTGAAAGGGTGGAGGGGGGTGAGGGAGAGTGGAGTTGGGTGGGGCTATGGTGTGTGGGGTGGGAATGTGAGTGGTTTTGACCTGCGCTGCCTCTGCAAGCTTATGAACCGCGTGCCAGCAGTTCAGGCCCGGGCAGGACCAGCTAGCGCCGTATGTGCCGCTGCTGGACCAGCTGGTTGGGAATGAGATCTATACCTCGGGCACGATCATGGCGATTTTCGCGGACAACGAGAGGATTATTTCGAGGGTCACTGTGGACAATGTGAGTGGTTTGAAAGGGTGGAGGGGGGTGAGAGAGAGTGGAGTTGGGTGGGGCTATGGTGTGTGGGGTGGGAATGTGAGTGGTTTTGACCTGCGCTGCCTCTGCAAGCTTATGAACCGCGTGCCAGCAGTTCAGGCCCGGGCAGGACCAGCTAGCGCCGTATGTGCCGCTGCTGGACCAGCTGGTTGGGAATGAGATCTATACCTCGGGCACGATCATGGCGATTTTCGCGGACAACGAGAGGATTATTTCGAGGGTCACTGTGGACAATGTGAGTGGTTTGAAAGGGTGGAGGGGGGTGAGGGAGAGTGGAGTTGGGTGGGGCTATGGTGTGTGGGGTGGGAATGTGAGTGGTTTTGACCTGCGCTGCCTCTGCAAGCTTATGAACCGCGTGCCAGCAGTTCAGGCCCGGGCAGGACCAGCTAGCGCCGTATGTGCCGCTGCTGGACCAGCTGGTTGGGAATGAGATCTATACCTCGGGCACGATCATGGCGATTTTCGCGGACAACGAGAGGATTATTTCGAGGGTCACTGTGGACAATGTGAGTGGTTTGAAAGGGTGGAGGGGGGTGAGGGAGAGTGGAGTTGGGTGGGGCTATGGTGTGTGGGGTGGGAATGTGAGTGGTTTTGACCTGCGCTGCCTCTGCAAGCTTATGAACCGCGTGCCAGCAGTTCAGGCCCGGGCAGGACCAGCTAGCGCCGTATGTGCCGCTGCTGGACCAGCTGGTTGGGAATGAGATCTATACCTCGGGCACGATCATGGCGATTTTCGCGGACAACGAGAGGATTATTTCGAGGGTCACTGTGGACAATGTGAGTGGTTTGAAAGGGTGGAGGGGGGTGAGGGAGAGTGGAGTTGGGTGGGGCTATGGTGTGTGGGGTGGGAATGTGAGTGGTTTTGACCTGCGCTGCCTCTGCAAGCTTATGAACCGCGTGCCAGCAGTTCAGGCCCGGGCAGGACCAGCTAGCGCCGTATGTGCCGCTGCTGGACCAGCTGGTTGGGAATGAGATCTATACCTCGGGCACGATCATGGCGATTTTCGCGGACAACGAGAGGATTATTTCGAGGGTCACTGTGGACAATGTGAGTGGTTTGAAAGGGTGGAGGGGGGTGAGGGAGAGTGGAGTTGGGTGGGGCTATGGTGTGTGGGGTGGGAATGTGAGTGGTTTTGACCTGCGCTGCCTCTGCAAGCTTATGAACCGCGTGCCAGCAGTTCAGGCCCGGGCAGGACCAGCTAGCGCCGTATGTGCCGCTGCTGGACCAGCTGGTCGGGAATGAGATCTATACCTCGGGCACGATCATGGCGATTTTTGCGGACAACGAGAGGATTATATCGAGGGTCACTGTGGACAATGTGAGCGGTTTTGAGGAGGAGAGTGGGAGAGTGGTGGTGGGTTGGGGCCGTGGTGTGTGTGGGCTTGGGAAAGTGTGTGAGATTGAGTGGTGGTGCAATGCAACTGGTGCAACCGTTGCAATCAGTGATGGGGTTGTTGATGGACCTTTGGTGCCTTCTGCAAAGCCTTGCCAAGTAGTAAACAAGCAGAAAAACCAACGAAGAACATTAGGATACGATGCCTGACCTCAAGTACCCTATACACCCCACTTCTGCCAACCACGCCTTGCTCCCTACTCCCCCTCCCTCCCTTCTTTCGCCCATCCAGATCCGGCAGCGAGTGACCAACTGTCGCATGTTCCAGCGGCCGCGGGACATCCGCTTCTTGAACATCATCTGCAGCAGCGAGGGCGCGCCCGTGCGCTCCAACCAAAATGTCGTGGTGGACATTCTCCGAGAGAACGCCGATATCCTCGTGCAGGCCCGCCCCGCGCCCTCCCGGCTTGTTAGAAGGGGTCAGACGCTCATTCTGAGGCGCTGGGATGGGGTGGAGGTGGATTGTGAGGCGTACGCGGATTTGCAGCAGCTGGGCCCACATTCTGACTCCATTCGCCGCACTCCGCAGGGTGTGTTTTGTGTGTGTGTGTGTGTGTGTGTGTGTGGAGTATGGGCTTGATGGTCTCTCTCTGGGAGTGTTAGGCGTGGGGTTTTAGGGCGTGAATGGAGTGGGGAGTGGTTGTGTGGCAATGGGCAATGGTTGTGGGTGAGTTGCTGTATGGATTCGCGTATTGAGCGTCGATTTTGAAGGGATTCGCAACAGGGATTCTGTGAGCACAGTGAGCATTCTGTCTGACTCCATACATACAAACAAAGTATTCCCTCCAGTGACTCTACTACACTGGCCTCTGAAACGAGGTCCACGTAAAGTAAGGCACGGGCCGAATTCGAACCAACCCACTTCCTTCTCGTCCGTTTCTCCTGTTCCGCACCCTGCCCGCCCTCAGAGGTCCTCTTTCTCTTCTACGTGGTCTCATTGGAGCTCTACTGCACGCTGTGTCTGCAGCGCAACCGCAAGGCCATAGACTGGCTGATAGAGGACAGCCACCTGTACGGGCTGGACTATGGCACGCTTCGCATGGTGGTCTTTAACGATGCTCTGCCCTTCTTCCTGCGCACCAACTGCTGCCGCCTGCTCACACGCATGTACCTTGACAGAGAGCCCTTTGAGCTGGTGTCACAGGGCAGCGTCATGCTCACCTGGTGAGTGTTGAGTCGACTTGAAAGCCAATTTGGTGAGTCAATTTTTGAGTTGACTCAAGCACCAACTGCTGCCGCCTGCTCACGCGCATGTACCTGGATAGGGAGCCGTTTGAGCTGGTGTCACAGGGTAGCGTCATGCTCACCTGGTGAGCCGTTTTTGAGTCAGCTCAACTCAATCACCAGCTGCTGCCACCTGTTCATGTTCATGCGCGCATGTACCTCGACAGAGAGCTGTTTGAGCTGGCCTCCCAGCAGCTTCTGAGGCTCTCCCAAAGAAAACCACCGTATCACCACCAACCCCCCTCCTCCCCATTCTCTCACCAGGCCCACTGTCGACGAATCAGATGCAGAAACTCTCAGTGAGCCTGAAAATCTGAACATGGCCATGGCGGACCCTTTCTCTGGTTTCTCCGCCTTCCACGCTCCCCAGGCTGAGGCTCGCCCAACCAACCCAACCCACCCACACTACCAACCCCCCTCCTTCTCGCACCAGGCCCACCATCGATGACTCAGATGCAGAGACCCTCAGCGAGCCCGACCACGTGAACATGGCCATGGCAGACCCTTTTTTCCTCCTCCTCCTCCTCCTCCTTTCCCCGTTTCTCCTCGCTTTCCCAACACTATCCACCACTCCCCCACTTCCCAACCCTGTGCTCCCACCAGGCCCACAATCGATGACTCAGATGCAGAAACCCTCAGCGAGCCCGACCACGTGAACATGGCCATGGCAGACCCCTTTTCCGCCTTCCCCGGGAAGGCGCCAGAGAGGGAGTTTGGGGAGCTGAAGGCGTGCACATTGGCTTACCTGCACGGCACGCGGCTGTCGTCTGCTTGCTCTGCGGGGCAGAGTGCGCTCACACTGGCCGTGCTGCAGATGGGCAGCATCATGCTGCAGTTCGGGCTCTTTGGGAACTTCTCTCAGGTGTGTGTGTGTGTGGGCGTGTGCGTGCGTGCGTGTGTGTGTGCGTGTGTGTGTGTGTGTGTGTGTGCGTGTGTGTGTGCGCGTGTGTGTGTGTGTGTGTGTGCGTGTGTGTGTGTGTGTGTGTGCGCGTGTGTGTGTGCGTGTGTGTGTGCTCGTGGGCGTGCATGCGTGTGTGCATGTGTGTGTGTGTGTGTGTGTGCGTGTGTGTGTGTGTGTGTGTGCGTGTGTGTGTGCGTGCGTGCGTGTGCGTGCGTGCGCGGCGGCCTAGTCTTGTTGACGTTTCGTGTGCCTTTCCTACTCCGTGAGCCTGATTTCCGTGGTTGCAGGTGGGGTTGGTTGGAATGGTTGCAGCTTGCAACATGCTGTTGTGTTCTATATGCCAGAGTTTCTAAAATCGCATTTTCAAAATGGGTGTTTGTGGATTTCCTCTTCCCTTTCTGATTGTGCTTGCTTTCATTGTTTCCCATGTCACCCCAGGACTGGGACAGCTCCATAGCGCAGGTGGTGGCGGCGATCATCCCTCTGCTGGATGGCAGGTCGGAGCCGTGGGACGGCAGCTGCAGGCTGAGGTTCGAGAACCAGCACGAGCCACACAGCAGTGCTGTCATGGAGGTGCGTGTTTTGAGACGTCTCAAAACTTGACTTTGAAATGTGTGCTATCCTCATGTAGACATGCGCATCAACTGGTGCATCAGCAGCTGGTGTATCCATCCACATGACTTCTCCCAAACACCCTGCACCCCCTCCCACCACTCCCCATCCCATCCCGTGCATCCCCACAGGCGAAGACCATCATGTGTGCCATGCTCATGTACATATTCGACATGCGCATCAACTGGTGCATCAGCATCGCATTCGACTGCTACTGCGACCTCGGAGATCGCACCATAGCCAACTTCTGGGACATGCCTCTCCTCCTCTCCCGCCCCTCCGACCCCTACTCCTCCGGTTATCCCTCCTCCGTCGCTGCGGTTACCACCTCCACCACCCCCTCCTCCTCCGCCTTGGCTCAGCACACCTCGTTTCACTCCGCGTCCTTGGCTTCATTGGATTCCGGTATTCCCAAGGATGCTGTTGCGGCCCTGCAAAGAGCACTGGGAGGGGAGAATGGGGTGATGGGAGGGGAGGGCGTGGGGAGGAGATTCGGTGCATCTGGTCTGGAGGGTGGTGGCGGGAGGAAAGCGTATGGTGGCAATGGTGGTGGTGCTGGTGGTGGTGGTGGTGGTGGTGGTGGTGGAGGAGGAGGGGGGAATGGATACGGTTACGGCTCGGGTAACAGCAATGGCGGTGGCGGTGGCAGTGGCGGTGGTGGTGGTGGTGGCAATAGCAACGCGCTGATCATGAGGAGAAAGTCTCTCTGGTGGTCCACTCGTTTGAAGCTCGAAGCTGCTTCCACCCTGCGAGGGTTTGTCAGGCCGTCGCGAGTGGGACCCCCTGATTCAGCAGTATTCGATCAACTCTTTAAAGACTTATTTGAGACGCCGGAGCTTAGTCCCTCAGGGGCTGTTTTGAGAGAGGAAGCAGGCATGCAGGAAGAGGCACGGCTGAGGGAGGAAGCGGGGGGCAGGATGGGAGGAGAGGAGGGGGGAGGTGGACGCGGGGAGGAGAGAGAAGCGAGAAGTAAAACAGTAAACCAGGTACCTTACATGATGAAGGTGCTTCTAGACCTGACTCGTTATAAGTACGCTCCATTAAGAGCGCTCGCCTTCGCCCTGATCGACCGCTACATGATGGAAAAGGCGTCGCTCCTGCGCAAAATGCTCTCCACTCACATAGTCGTGGATCCAGATGTGCTGCGGCTGTACAAGCAAGTTGCTCACGACGTGAACATGCTACGGTCGCTGCACGGATGGCTGGGGAGCGATAATGAGTTGCTGCGAGGGGAGGTGCGGCGGCGGTGCTGCGAGGTGCTGTGGAAGTTCCGGGATATGTGCACGCTGAGCCAGGGGCAGAACGAGGCGCAGGTGGTGAAGCACCAGACGATTCTCAAGACGCTTGGCGCCCACTGCTGTGCTCGTGAGTTCTCCTGGGATTCTTCTGTCCTGAAAGGTAGCAGAATATTCCTCTCTGTGATGTGTGTGGTGTTTCGAAGTGAATGGATCCGTTGGGAATGAGAGCATCGGGAAACGGCAAAAGTAATGGAAAGGAAAGGAGAAGTGAAGAGGCCATAGTTCTCTTTTTCTCCCCGGCCCGGGCATCCCTTGATTTTTCTTTCTGTGTTCATGGATCCGCGTGCTCTCGCTGCTGCTGCTGCAGGTGACATGCTGCGCTTGCCCTTCCGCCGTGTGCCGTCTCAAGTGCGGGGAGAGATGGACTGTCTCGAGGATGAGGGGCTGCAGGCGCTGCTGCAAGCGGCTTACGAGTTCCTCACCATGGTATGGTACTGGTGGCAGGCTGGCAGCCAACGCCTGAGTGCATCTAATGGTGCATGCATATTCTCCGGGTTTGGCATGCAAGGGGTTCTTTAATCAGTCGATCACCATACATCTGCACCACTTTCTATCGAACTGCATCTCACCATTTAAAAAAAAAAAAAAAAAAACGTTTTCCTGCTTCTCATTTTGCCCCTTTCGATCCCCCCCCCTTCTCCCCCTCAACGTTGCTGGCAGTTCTGTGGGGGAGTGGTGAACGAGGAGATCCAACTCACGCTCTTCCCCTTCATTCCCCTCATGCTGCCGCACCGAGGGCTGCAGGGTGTGCAGGTGGGGCGTGGTGCAGGTGGGACTTGGTGCAGGTGGGACTTGGTGCAGGTGGGGCGTGGTGCAGATGAGAACCTGTGCCAGTCAAGAGCTTGTCATGCATCCACACATCCATGAATCAGGTGATACCTGGTGCAGGTGATACCTCGATGTGAGACCCCCCATACATGTGTGTGATTTTGCATGTTCACTTATGCACAGCAGAATTACACACCCAGTAACCTTAGGGTATGCTCGTTCACTCCCTACCGTCAACCTCCCACCCATTGCCAGTCTGCACCCCCTGTCAACCCCCCTCTCTCCTGCCACGCATCCCACCTTCCCGTGTGTCTCCTGACTGCATTGCCTGGCTATTCCCCCATTGCACAAGCAGGTTACAGAGTGTCTGTGTGCCATACTCAAAGACAACTACGAGCTTTGCGCTCAGGTGGGTGGATTGTACACCTTCCAAGCCACACATGTTCACATCAGAAAGGTTAAGTGAAAAACAGCGAACAATATATATGTTTTCGATAAAAAGGACAAGAAGCATGTGTGTGTCTAGAAAAGAGGATCAGGAAACTCTTTTGGGATATGTATATATCTAGGAATACCGTGACGTTCGTTATTGTGCGAGCAGTGGGTTGTGGAACAATTCTTCGTGCTCCCTTCTCTGTTGTCTTATTTCCATTCTCATCCCCACTCTCTCCCTTGCCTCCATCCCAGGTGGGGCTGGGCCTCATCTGATCATGCTGAGTGATTTATGATAATTCTTACGGATCCTGCTCCCCTCCCCTCCCTTCCCCTCTCCTCCCCTCCCCTCCCCTCCCCTCCCCTCCCCTCCCCCTCCCCCTCCTCTCTCCTCGCTCTTCCCTGCCTCCATCCCAGGTGGGGCTGGACCTCATCTGGTCATGCTTCCGCCTCATCCTCAAATTCAACCGCCGTCACTCCTGGCTCAGGTTCCTCGAGGTGAGGCTTTGTTAAGTATACACACCCAGGGCGAGACTTTGTTCACAACGCTTCAGAACTCCTCACTTTGCACAGAGTGGGCCCTCACTCTGTTTTTGCTTGATAGACTGCGGGCGATGGTGAAAACGGCAAGCCCACGGGTTGTGACCGACCAGCAGTGCTGGATAATGCTATTGACCACACCACTCACACTCCCCGACCTGCCCAAGACGTGTTTAAAGCCGGTTTAATTTGCACCTATTTCCCAACCCGCTTTCCCTCTGGCAGACGGTGGTGGTGGTGAACGGCAAGCCCATGGGTCGCAACCAGACAGCCGTGCTAGACATGGTGATTGACCACACGCACTCCGTGGCTGGCCTGCCCAAGTCACCCGCGCACTGGAGGCGGCGCCGGGAGCTCATGGCTGCTGGCGAGGCTGCCGCCAAACCCCATGAGAGCCAGGTGAGTGGGAAATGTTGTGGCTGGGGTAGGTGGGGAGATGTTGTGGTTGGTTTGAGGCGCCTCAAAACAAGTCACCCGCACACTGGAGGCGGCGCAGGGAGCTCATGGCTGCTGGCGAGGCTGCCGCCAAGCCCCATGAGAGCCAGGTGAGTGAGGATATTGTGTGGCTGGGGCAGGTGGGGAGATGCTGTTGTTGGGGCAGATAAGGCGCAGGTGCGGTTGGGGCAGGTGAGGCGCCGGTTTTGGTTCGCCTGAAAGAGAGTGAGACAGCATGGGGCAGGTGGTTGAGGTTGAGGCATTTTCAGCCTTATTTTCAGCTCGCTGGGCCATGTAACAGCCACGCTTGTTCACATTGCGCTATCACGACCTGTTGCTGTGTGCACTGCAGCAGCATGTGTCTCTGTTACAGCAAAGCCCAAGATTAGGGCCATACGATTCTCCTTGGCTGCTTGCTTGTGTGGCAAGGACCTGCAGCACACACGGAAATGCAAGGGATCCTGGTCCTAATCCTGCTTCTCCTCTGATTTTCCCTCCTCTCTTCCCTCCCACCTTTCCTCCTTCCTTCCTCCCTCTCTAACCCCATCACTGTCAGGTGCGCTTCCATGCAGCGTATGTCTCTCTGCTTGCTGCGTGCTGCTGGGGGAACAACCCAGCGCATGCAGTGAAGGTGGGCGGGCTGGTAGGACTGGGCGAGGTCATGGCAACCCTACTCTGGCTCAGCTCTGAATCCCGAATGGCTCAGAAGGCCAGAGAGAAGGGGCAGGAGAAGGGGAGGAAGGGGGAGGGCGAGAGGGGGAGTGAGAGGGAGAGGGAGGGTAGGGAGAGAGTGGGGGTGAAAGAGGGTAGGGAGAGAACAGAGGAGCGGCAGGTGGAAGAGAGGAAGGGTGTGGGGAAGGGGAAGTGGTTGGAGGAGAGGCGGAGGCACCTGTCTTTGCAGCAGAGAGGTGAAGGGACAGAAGAGTTGTGGGGAGGAGGGGGAGGAGGGGGAGGAGGAGGAGGAGGAGGAGGAGGAGGAGGAGGAGGAGGAGGAGGAGGAGGAGGAGGAGGAGGAGGAGGAGGAGGAGGAGGAGGAGGAGGAGGAGGAGGAGGAGGAGGAGGAGGAGGAAGAGGAGGATTGGCAGCAGCAGCAGCAGCAGCTATAGCAGCAGTAGAAGCAGGAGGAGGAAGTGGAGGAGTTGGGAAATCAGCTTCTGGAGAGGCATCGTCAGCATCACAGCCAGGAGAAGAAACAGCTGAAGCATCAGTAGCAGGAACAACAACCACGGAAGCAGCAGCATCAGCAGCAACAGCAGGGGCAACATCAGCAGCAGCAGTAGCAGCAGCAGCATCCAAGTCTGATTCCACACAGTCGGTAATCGACATGGCAACGATTCATCTGGTGAAGGCAGCATATGTGCGCCTGCTGCATCAGGTGTACGTCACAGGGCACAGCGATCGAGCCACTGCTGAAATCCGCGACCCCACCAATGGAATCTGGCCGCAGGAGCTGCCACGACGGGAAGGGGGAGCAGCCGGAGGGGTGACAGGAGGAGCAGGAGGGGTTGGGGAGACAGGAGGAGGTGGAGGAGGAGGAGTGGGAGCGGGGTTGGGAGGTGTGGGGGTTAGTGGAAGGGGTTTTGGTGCGTTGGCTGGTGTGACTGCCACTGGTGGTGCTGTTGGTACTGGGATTGATGCTGCTGGTGCTGCTGCTACTATCGGTCGCAGATCTGCGACTGGTGCTACTCTTAGCGCTTCTGCTGCTTCTGCTGCTGCTGCTGCCGCTGTTCCTCCTCATGGTCCCACCGTTGCCGCCTTCACAGGTTTCGATCCGACAAGAAGACACAATCGGGATAACAAAGACAGCCGCTATCGTCCAATATCAATTGGATCGTCAGCAGCACTCACAGTGGCAGCAGCAGGTCTCTTTCCCCTCAACCCCTCATCTGCCGAACCTCGCCCGTGCCTCATAGAGGATCTAATCTCCGAGTTACAGCTGGCAGCATCTGAGGAGTTTGACCACGCGCCGCCCGAAGGCTCCGCACAGCATTTCGTGGCAACAGCAGCACTGCCCATGCTGACATCCTACTTTAAACGCCACTTCATTGCTCGAAGAGCCAACCTGCCAGATTCCCACCGGGTGCTTCTGGACCAATTAGCAGACGCCATCTGGCATCTCTGTGGCAAGCTCCCTCCCTCGCAGCGCGACGCCCCCTTGAGATGTATCGAGGAGATGAAAGCTGCTGGTGCGGTTTCTAGATTCGACTACGGCCCGTCATCTCTGCCGTATTTTGTCGATCGGGCAGCGGTGAGTCGTGCCCGAGGCACAGAGCTTCAGCGCAAGGGGCAGATTTTCAAAGCGAATTGGGTGAATTTCTGCCGCTTGTTCTCGCAGAAGCTAGATATTTCCGACCTGCAGACCATGGAAGGGTCGGGAGCGCGACACCTGGCGCTCATGCTGACTCAGCGCCGGCCGGTTGACGTGTCATACTCCCCACCGTTCCACTATTATAATGTGGTGCCGCAGCTGACGAGCCTGCTGTCGAGCCCTAAGGTCCCGCCGCAACTGACTCCGGACCTGATGGTTCGGCTGCTTCGGGTGTGCCGAGCCATGATCTACCTGACAGACGATTGGGACGGCAAACCAGTGATGAAGCAGGAGAATGTAAAGGTTGTTTCTGGTGGTGGAGGGGTTGGTGGTGGTGGTGGTGGTGGCGGTGAGAATGAAGGTGCTGATGATGGTGGTGGTGGCAGCAGCAGCGGTGGTGGCGGGGGTAGTACCAGTGCTGACGCTGGTGCAACAAGTGCTGCTGGTGCTGCAAGTGGTGATGGTGATGAGGGAGGAGGAGGGAGAGGCGGGGGAGGAGAGGGAGGAGAGGGAGGAGAGGGAGGAGGAGGAGGAGGAGGAGGTGGAGGAGGAGAAGGAGGAGGAGGAGGAGGAGGAGGAGGAGGAGGAGGAGGAGGAGGAGGAGGAGGAGGAGGAGGAGGAGGAGGAGGAGGAGGAGGAGGAGGAGGAGGAGGAGGAAGAGGGGTAGGAGGAGGAGGAGGGGTTGGAGGAGGAGGGGTAGTAGGAGGAGGGGTAGGAGGAGGAGGAGGGATGAAGGGCCAGCCTGAAAGGCTCCGAACAATGGGCAAGTGGGACATGTTCGAAGCCTCAGTACCAGTCCGGTACTCCAAATCGTCCCTCGAAGCCCTAGCCCGCGTGCAATGTGGATACACAGACATGGGCCTGGCTGCGTGCGCAGTGAAACTCGTCAGCCACCCGAGCCAGTGGGTGCAAGCAGAAGCAGTGAAGCTTGCGATTGCTCTCACAGACGAAGGGAACGGGCGTGTACAAGCCACTATGTACTCAGTTCTTGTTCACGAGCCGGAGTTTTTCCAGACGGTTAAGAAGGTGCTAGCTGCGGCGTCGTCGACGGTTAAGTTTGTGAGGAAAGGGCTGGATAAGGCTGAGGTGAAGGCGAGGCGGGAGGAGATGGAGAGGAGGCAGATGCGCGTGGGGGGGAGGGGAGGGAGGGGGAGAGGGGGGGAGAAGGGTGGTGGGGGAGTGGGAGGGAGGAGTGAGGGTGATGGGCCGGATGGGGGAGGGAATGGGGGAGGGAGAGGGGGAGGGAGAACGGGCGGAACAGAAGCAGACAGGGAGGGAGAGAGAGTAAGGCCAGAGTACAATGGTGGGGGTAGGGGTGTGGCAGGTCAGAACCAGAGAGACGATCCTATAAGGGTAAGCAGAGAGAGGGGAGACTTGGGCGCTAGTACTACGACTAGATTCAATCGTGCTGGCAGCGTTGGCAATGGTGGTGGTGGGTATGGGTCTCAGCCGTTGAGAGAGGAGGCTGGTGGGGCAAATACAGAGCATGGAAGTTCTCATATGGATTCTGAGGCGTTTCCAGGTGGGGGTAACAGTGGGGCTGGTAGCAGCAGTGAGGCAGAGGAGAGGAGCAGAGAGGGGGCGAGGGAAGCGTGGTTAAGCATTGGCGCTGCGGAAGCAGAGGAGGGGGGTGCGCAGAGCCAAGGGGGGACGGGCCGAGCTGCAACGAGGGCTTTGTTTCTAAACGCGGTGAGAATGTTGAAGGAACGGGGGGGGTCTGCTCAACATGCGATGCAGCGTCGAGCGGAGGAGGAGGAGGGTCACAATGATAAATTGGAAAGAAGGGCGGTTGCAGCGAATGGGGATGTGCTGGGTAGGAGGCTGCTTGGCAGTCGACGGGGCAATAGCAGTGGCAGCAGCGACAGCAGCAGTACCAGCAGCAGCAGCAGCAGTATAGGCAACGAGGGTGGGGAAGGTGGATTGGAAATGGAAATAGAGATGGAAGTAAGACCTCCTGAGGCCGAATCCCCTTGTCCTGCCCTCAACAGTACGCATCCTGCTGACAATACTGTTGCAGATTCTGAAGCAGGAGAAGAGGCAACGGCTGAGAGCGTGGATGTAGGTACTGGTATTAGTGGGCGTGCGGGGATGGTTGTGTCCGTGTGGGATGGGGATGTGGGAGGGGTGGAAGGAGAGGTGAGTGCTCCGTGTGCGTTCCCAGGAGACCCTTCCTCTGTTTCTCATCACAGTCACAACGGCCTTGATAGCACACAGCAGGAGCCCCCATCGTCAGCAACAGAAGCAACAGGAGCACTCACCTCTCAGATGGGTCCATGTCCATCTGGTGCATCGGATGGTGTTGGTGTTGGTGTTGGTGTTTCTCCCGCTTTGCAGCCTCCTTCCAGTATCAGCACTGCATCGGATGGTCCAATCAGTGGGACAAACGCGAGATCAGCCAACAGTGGCGCCGCCAGGTCTCCGGAGGGTTCTGGGGTGGAGAGCGGAAGGGACAGCATTAGCGGGAGCCACGAGAAGAGTCGGGCTGGTGAGAGGAGTGGGGCTGGTGAGAGAGGTGGGACTGGAGAGGTGGCTGTTTCCAGTGAGAGGAGTGGTGGTGCTCGCTTGGGTGGTAACATGGGTGCATATGCCAGGATGAGGATCAAAACTGGGTCGATTGATCTTGGGGACACGCTAGAAACACCAGCAACAACTCCAGGGTCTGGTCTTGGACTTGGAACAATGGACCCTGATGGGCTAGAATCCCCTGCAGAAACTCCGATGACAGCGAGAGAGGGGGAAGGAGGAGGGGGGCCAGGAGGAGGGGTGGGAGCGGGGGGAGGAGGAGGAGGAGGAGGAGGAGGAGGAGGAGGAGGAGGAGGAGGAGGAGGAGGAGGAGGAGGAGGAGGAGGAGGAGGAGGAGGAGGAGGAGGAGGAGGTGGGGGAACGTCGGTCGCAGGGGGAGAGGAGGAGGATTACCGGTTGTGGGACGTGGAGGAGAATGAGGAGGGGACGAAGGCGACGAGTAGAGACACAACGCTGCACAAGAAGGCATGGGTGATTCTCTCTGGGCATGTTACCAACCTCTTAAGAATGCTCCAGCTCATGTGTGAGGGCCATAACGCGGATATGCAGCGCCTGCTGCGCCTGCAGGAGTATCCTGGCCCTCCGAGTGCCGGGATCGAACGGTCAGGAGGAGGGGATGATGACGGGGCTGCCGGGGGCGGGGGAGGGGGAGTGGGGATTGGGGGAGGGGCGGGAGGGGGAAGGGGGTGGGGCGGAGGGGGAGGGGGGGCGGTGGAGGGGAAAGGGGTGAATGTGCTACAGGAGATTATAGTGTTTCTGGAGCATTTGCAGCCGTCTCTGGATAAGAATCTTGGGCAGAAGAACCCTTTACTGGTCGAGATCGCTCTACAGGTATGTGAAAACCTGAGAGGTGGTTTCCTTTTCATGACGCATGATGAACGCTGAACAAGAGAGTTGTAACTTGTCAATAATAGGGACGTGCGTTCATATCATCCTCGTCTTCTGAATGTACTCGTTCATTAATCTCATCCTTCACTTTATTCTCATCAGCACTCTCTTTACCCTTCAGCACTCTCGTCACCCTTCAACACTCTTCTGTGCTCTCTCAACACCTCCTGCATTCCACACCTCAGCCCTTAACGTTCCCCTTCTCCCCTCTCGCTTCCTCACTTCCCCTTTCTTCCCCTCCCTTTCCCTCCTTTTCCCCTCCCTTTCCCTCCCGTTGTCCACCTTACCACAGGCGCTCAACACGCTGCTAGAGGCCATTCAGGGCCCGTGCTTTGAGAACCAGCTGGCTCTCGTGCGCTCCAACTTCCTCTCCATCACGCAACGAATGCTCGCCTCGCTCAACTACCGCGAACAGGACGAGCGCACGCCGCCCGTGCGCTACTCGCCGGATGTCATTGCGGGTATTCTGAGCTACACTGCGCTCGGGTCCCGACCTGCGGGAGGAGCTGGATGTCCTTTGGTGAGTGCTCTGCTCTGGATTGGAATCTTTATGGTGAGTCATCGCTGTGCTGATGTGTTCTTGTTTTTCGAGGGCGCTCAGCAATATTATGTATGGAAGTGGCGAGTCAAGGGTTTAGGGTTGCTAAGCGCCCTCCCTTTCTTTTCCTCCCCTTCCCACCCCTTCCCCCCTTCCTCCTCCTCACCAGTTAAGCGCCAACGACCTGCGGTGCTGGCTGCGCAACGGGGTGTTCTCAGTCTACCTTTCTCTACTCGAGGAGATCGGCACCAACAGCGAGATCCCCAGCAAGATGGCTGCTGTCATCGATTTCACCTCCCTGCTGCACCGCTGCCGCCAGCTGCAGCAGGTTCTCAGGGAGTACAAGCTCGGGTGTCCCGACGCGGGGAGGGATTTCGAGTCGTCGCAGAGCCTGATTGCGTTCCTGCGGCAGATGCTGAGAGAGTACATGGTGGCTCGTGGTGATCCTATGGAGTTTGACGGCGCAGCAGCAGTGGCGGCAGCGGCGGCGGGGGTGGGAGGGGCAACGGAGGCAGGTGAAGGTTCTGGGTCGTTCTTGCAGTTTTTGGCAGCGAGATTTCGTGGTGGTGACGGTGCTGTTAACCATGCTGCTGCTGGTGCCTGTGCTGCTGCTGCTGCTGGTGCTGGTGCTGGTGCTGCTGCTGCTGCTGCTGCTGGTGCCTGTGCTGGTGCTGGTGCTGGTGCTGGTGCTGGTGCTGGTGCTGGTGCTGGTGCTGGTGCTGGTGCTGGTGCTGGTGGCTGTGCTGGTGTTTCCAGTGCTGGTCCTCCTGGTGTTGGTGCTAGTGGTGATAGTACCGCTGCTGGTGATGCATCTGCTTTGGGGCGTCTTAAGCGAATTCTGGTTGGGAATAACGGTGGGAGTAACAGTGGGAGGCTCGCGAGTGCTGCTGCCGTGGCTGCTGCAGGGGGGTTGCAAGTCGAGGACAGGAGAGGGGATGTGCGAGGGGAAGGAACATACTGTGCTGCGAACAGTCAAATTGGAAGGGAAGAGGATGGGGTAGTGCGAGGGGATGAAGCTGCGAGGATCTGGCGAGGTGTGGGTTCTGGTGTGGGTTCAGGTGTGGGCTCACGGATTGGGTGGGGAAAGGCCATGGAGAGCGTGGGAGAGGGGGTGGTGCAGGAGGAGGAGGCAGTGACAGCAGCAGCAGCAGCAGCAGAAATAACAGCAGCAGCAGGGGTAAGAGGAATGCAGGTAGTGCCAGGCGTAAAAGGGAGAGAAAAACGAAGTGTGGGTATTCCACGAGCCATGTCCATGCCTGCTGGTGCTGCGGGCCCTCTAGCCCGTGCAGTTACTGCAGTGATTGATAGCCGGGGAGAGGATGCAGCCAGGAGAGAGAATGAGCTTTCAAGAGCAGACGCAGGAGCAGGTGCAGGGGCAGGGGCAGGAGCAAGGGCAGGGGCAGGGGCAGAGGCAGGAAATGTTGCATCACGTGCCTTGATTGGAACACGTGGCAGCTTGTCATTTGCTGGCCTCTCACGGACATCTAGCTGGCGGTACAGTCTAGCTGCTCTGGCTCGGCAAGGCTCAGGTAGAATCTCAGGTGTTTTCAACATCGAAGGAGGAGGTAGTGGTTCAGGAGCGAGTAAAGGAGAAAGAGATGTAAGAGGAGGAGGAGGAGATGGAGGAATAGGAGGTGGGGGACTGAAGACAAGGAAAGGCCCTCCCCTCGCTCCTCTATCCTCCCTATCTTCCGCACATAACAAGTCCCTTCCCTCCTCCTCCACCGTCCCCAATCTCTCTTCTCGGCACCCTCATATCAGCACTGCCGCTCCCTCCATCTCCCCCCAGTGGCGTCCCCCCCTTTGGAGCACATTCAATACAGACTCCCTGCTCTTCCTGCTGCCTGGCGAGGTGCTCAATTCCCTCATTATAATCATCAAGCTGGATGATTTCGACCGTTGGATGTACTGCAGCGGCGAGCCCAGCCAGAAATTCGATTGGTCCACGTCAGCAGATGGATCGTCCGGGGGTGGAGGTGGGGGGGGAGCGGGTGGGCGAGGGAATGGGGGAGTGGGCGGGGGAGGGGGCGGAGGAGGGGGAGGAGGTGGGGGAGGGGGAGGGGGAGGGGGAGGAGGAATGTTGAGTTTCGCAAGGCTAATGGGGAGATCAGGGCCATTTGCCACATGTGCATATTCCGTGCTGAAATGCGACAAGCCGCAAAGAATCGGAACTCTGTGTTTTGAACACACCCTATCCGTTGGGGATCAAGACCTGGAAGTTTTCTTCAACCAGCGCTCGTGTGCTATCGAGGTTGTGCGCGATGGGCAGCTGGAAAAAGTTTACTTCCCGCTGACCCCCGAATGCAGGAGGCTGTCTCAGGACCCGCAATGGACCCAGGCTGCCCTGCAGGAGCTGTATGACGTTCCAAGAGAAAACCCCATTCAGGTGAGTAGCTGTGTTCTTTGATTTGTAATGCAGCGGAAGCGTGTGTAGCAGAGGTCATGTGCTGGCACAGCATGAGGCTGCTACAAGAGGTCATTGCCCTGCGAGTGCATGACAGTCCAGCAGTCCTTGCCAGTAGCCACAGTCGTATGCAGCAACTCATGAAGTTGATTTAGGTCCTGTTCACAAGGTTTCAGCACCACAGTGACTCTTCCGACTAATCTAACCCCGTTGTACTCATTCCCCTCTTCTCCCCACCCCCATCCCCACCCGCATCTCACAGAAAGTTCAGCAGTTTATGGCAGCGGCGCGGCTGCTGGTATACAAAGTGCAGCACTACGAGCGCATGAGGCTGCGATACGCCTGGTCTGGCTGGCTGCAGGCCCGCATGACCCACCTCAAGCGCGCCCCCTTCTACCTCTCCATTGTTATAGTCACCATCCTCGTCTTTAGCAACACCCAGCTCAGCACCGCTCCTGCTGGTAACCACCTGCAGGGGTTACAGCAACAGGGGGGTGTCAGCCGTGCTGCTTCCACTGCTGCTTCTGCTGCGGCTGCGACGGCGGCAGCGGCTGCTGCTGCTGCGGTCAGGGCGTGTCCTGCTCAGGAGCTTCTAGGTGTGATGCTACCGAATGACACTGTAACAGGAGCCAGCAACAGCAGCTGCTGCAGCACCACCGCTGGAACCTTCTCAGCTGCAACAGCCGCCGCCACAGCAGCAGCAGCAGCAGCAGCAGCAGGAGGAGTGAGTGATGCGATATCTCTGTCCCTGTGGGAGAGGCACGGGCACTTGCTGTGCTTGGTCCTCGTGCGCTTTATAGGGCTGTTGCAGGTGGCAGCAGGGGCGCTCACGCTCGTGGCGTTTGTGCTCATAGAGTCGCCTCTCCTCGTGCTGCATGAGCGGCGTGCCAAGGAACAGGCGATCTCAGGGGCGCTCTCCTCTCTAGGTGAATTCAACATTTCTTGTGCTCCCCTATGCTGTGTCCCCGCCCCCATTGTTATGCCCCCCCTTGTTATGCCCCTCCTTGTTATGCCCCTCCCTGTTGTTGCCCACTGCTGGCCCCTTGGAAAGTGATGTGCTGTCCTGTCCACCCAGTCACACCTCGTTGATGCAGACTTCCTGTGATGTGACAATATCTTCGTCACAAAGCGACTTTTGAGTCCCCCTTTTTGACTCAAGAGTTACCTTGCAGACTTCCTGTCATGTGTCAGTGTCTTCCTCCTCACAAAGCTCTTTCCATCTTCTGCATCGTTTCCCGCTGCAAGCCTCACTGGTTCGTCTTGTCCCATCCCCCCTCCGCCTTTCCACCTTCCTTCTCTTCCATCACCCTTTCCTCACCACCTTCCCGTTCGGTCCCCCCTTCTCACCAGCTGAGCGGGGTCACACAGATGCCTTGGGGCAAGGGGAAGGGGAAGGGGAGGAGGGGGCGGGGGGAGCTGAGATGTGGGAGGAGCTAGAGGGAGTGCCTAAGCGTCTGCTGCTGCAGAACCGGGACTTTTGGTACATCATTGCCATGCTCGTCGCCAGGTGAGTTTCTGAGCTCGGCTCAAAAGTCCCTTGTGGCAAAAGCCGGAGGTGAATTTGAGTCGACTCACGAGTCACCCCTGGGTGCCCAAGCGTCGGCTGCTGCAGAACTGGGGCTTCTGAGAACCGGGACTTCTGGTACGCCATTGCCATGCTCGTCACCAGGTGGGTGCAGCGATGCTCGCCACCAGGTGAGGAGTAAATTTATTTCGGCAACTCATAAGCAGGTTGTTTGGACTGCTGGTAGTACATGGTCGGATCGGATGCATGTTGGCAGGGAAGTGCACCATATTATTGCAAAGCCGCTCGCCAGTTGAGGATTGTGTGCTTCCATGCATGCTGTTGCCGTTGGATTAGAATTGGAACTCTGTCTTGCCTGTTATGTTTCCTGCTATTGTCAAAACAACTTGCACCCAGCGCGTCACCAGTTCAGGTCAGTGCCATTGTGCTCCCCGTTTTCCCCATACCCCTCTCCTCATCCCCCCTTTTCAATCTGCTCGACTTTCTCAACTACCACCCCTCGCCAGCCATGTTCCTGAGACATCTCAAAACCCACATACCCCTTCCCCCATCCCCACACCCCCCTTTTGCCCCTGTCCCCCATACCCTCCCCGCCCCTCCCCCCCCCCACCTTCCCTCCCCCCCTCCTCTACAGCATCCTGGGCATAGTCTCGTCGCCCTTCTTCTTTGTCTTCCACCTTCTCGACTTCCTCATCTACCACCCCTCGGGAGCCATCGTGCTGCAGTCCGCCTATGTGGGCGGCCCTCTGCTCATCCGCACAGGCCTCGTGGGCATCCTCGTGATATTCATGTATGCGGTCGTCTCCTTCCTAGCCTTCGGCGGGGACAGCGATTTTGCCTGCACGACTCTCTACGGGTGTATAGGCTCTCATCTCGTGAACGCGCTTTCGAGCTCCTCGATCGGAGGGCTTTGGAAGGAGTGGGATGCGGTGCCGGACTCGATGTTCGAGGGGGTGCGGGGGCAGCTGCGCACTGTGTTCATCGTGTCGTTCCTCATTATCTGGGTGTTTCTGCTGCAGAACATCTTCACTGGGCAGATTGTGGACGCGTTCACGTCCATCCGTGACGAGAAGGCGGCCAAGGAGAAGGATCTAGGTGAGACTAGTTGGTTTTGGGGATTTCTCAAGCTCACCTGAAGGTGACTCGAGCTCACCTGAAAAGGGGAAAGATCTAGGTGAGCTCGAGTCGCCTCTCTGCCCGCTTTTTTATGCGGCTGGTATCAAGCGCCTCAGAAATCACCCGGAGAAGCACGTATGCGATTGCGAGTCTCTTTTCTGCCCCTCCTTTCCTACCTCCCTTCCCCTCTCCCTCCCTCCCTGCATACCCTTCCATCCGTCCCTTGTACCATGTGCAAAGTATGTGCCACGTCCTGCCTGTTGATCAGCAAAACGAGGATAATATAATCTTCCGTGCGTGTTGAAGGACCAGCTCTGTCATGTCTTCACATCCACCAGCCTCCTCCAAGCTTGCCACGAACCTTCATCTCTCACTCTGCTACTCCCCCTTTGTCTTCCTCCCCTTGTTCCCCGCCTGCAAACGCACGGTGTCACTGTCACACACACACCCATCCACCCACCCTCCCACCCCACCCCACCCCACGCACGCACATGCACCATCGACCGCACCCGCAGACGACAAGTGCTTCGTGTGCAGCATCGACCGCTTCGCCTTCGAGCAGCGGCTGGGCGGGTTCGTGGACCACGTGAAGCACGAGCATAACGCGCTGCACTACCTCTTCTACATGGACTACCTCCTCAAACGCAACCCCACCGAGTACACAGGCCTCGAGTCCTTTGTGCGCGGCCGCCTAGACGCGCGTAATGATGATTGGATCCCGATCGGTCGCGCCATGCACATCGACCGGCTGAAGCAGTTCCGGGCGAAGCAGCGGGGTGCGAGCGAGGGCATGGACCGGGTCCGGCATGTGCTGGATCGGATGGATGCGAGGATGACAGCGCTTGAAGCCGGGATGGAGACGATGAGGATTGAGATCAACCGGTCGTCGTCTCGGTCGTCCCGGTCGGGGTCTGGTGTGGGGCTTGCGAGTGCGAGTGTCGGCGGTGGTGGTGGAGGGGGAGGTGGAGGGGGAGGGAGGCGGTCGCAGGGGATTCTGGCGCGGTCGTTGACGGGGGGAGGGAGCGGCCGGAGGAGCAGCAGCAACAATAGCAGCGGAGGGGCGGGAGCTAGTCGGTCGTCGAGCTTTGGACGGACTGGGAGGGGAAGGGTGATGGGATCCATGTCTCTCGACCCGAATTCGCAGCTACATAATGAAGAGGAGGAGGAGGTGACTGGTGGAGGGGATATGATGTTTGAGCTACGGAATATCCATTCAGACATCCCAATCTCTCGGGCGTCAACATTGTAAGCTGGAATTGTTTCTCTTTCTTTTCCTTTCTTTCTTTCTTTCTTTTTTTCTTCTGTGATGCTGCATTTTCTCATTTCTCTTTACATCTTGCACTTGTGTGAATCTGTTGCTGCTCTGCCTGTATACAAGGGTTGGATCTTTCCCAACTTTGCCCTCCTGTGCTTTTGCAGGCCTGGCATGTATGGTGGCTGGGCATCCCCCTCGGTGGGCTAGATTAAACTAACCTGCGTGCATGCATGAGGGCCTCACAATGCAGCCTTCTTATGCTGGTTCTGCCTCTCGTCCGCCTTAATTTTCTCGCCAGTGCTCATCTATCAGCCTTATTCGGGGAATTAGTCACCGTACCGTAACTGACTCTAAAATTCTACCCTTTTGAAAGACACTACTGTGCTGGATGATGGTTCTCCCATACTTATGTCATCAACTCGTGGCCTGTGTGAGTGGCCATGTGCAGTTCCTTTCCACTTACCAGTACTGTGTTTTTCACTGCCAAATCTGCTCATGAAAGTGATAAGGTACTGGAATACCGCACTCCCGTGCAAGATTCAGGGAAGCAACAACTTATACGGATGAACCCGTATGCGTTGTTATGCAACCATGTAGCCGTAGGAAGGCAAACGAAGTGGTGAAAGAATCCGAGATTGGTTCTTGCTGGTGACATCATCCAAACCTCTTGACGTCATCAGGAGGGGACTTTCCCCAAAATGGGCAGAAGCATCAGAAGGGAAGTGACAAGAGTCAATTCCACGGTATGTGAGCAGGGTTGAACCATCGACCATATTACAAAATGAGAGTATGAGAAGGCCCAGTCAGTGTCAAAATGAGAGTATGAGAAGGGTTGCCTCGAACAGTCATGTCAACGTACACATTTATGTTTGTATGTATGCTATTGTAGGCTGAGGTGGATTATATAGGATAAGGTTTGCATATAGCCCCATGTATGTCTTATTTTAACCATTCGTTCTCATCTCAATCACATGGTACTGTCATCGCCCGGATAATAGGCATATATGTCTTATCTCGTACACTACTCAAAATGCTTGGGTTATCTTGTATTTGGGATGGTTTATGGTCTTATAAGTCTTATAAATGGAAAGAAAAAATAAGTACTCTGTAACATTTGCAAAGTGTGTAGAAACCTCCCAAGGGCCAGATTCATTGAAACAGAACGACCTCTGTGGTGATGCATGCAGCGCCCCCACTTGCCACGTGAGGGATGCAGCAAAGCTGCCACTGCTGGCAACACCCCTCCGTGCTGGCAGCATCATTAGATGCTGCCAGCGTCGTTTTGCTGCCAGCGGCGCATGGATGCTTCCTGAACGTTGCTGGCAGCACGATGACAGAGTGAGGGCTGTCCTCTACGAGGAGATTCCTTGTAGAGAAGTGGCTCGGCACCTTTGGAAGGGGCACTCTGGCTGGGGGGGGGGGTAGTCGGGCTTGAGCTTCATTTGGTGCTCAACGAGGTTGAGATCTCAACTCAACCTTTGCTCTCGGCAGGCTTAACCATGTGCAGCAAAGTCCTCGTAGGCACGTCCTCACCTCGCCCTCACGTGCAGGTGAAAAACTACGGGCGAATTAACTCACCCGGTGATGACATCCGTATAGCCATGGCGAAGAATACGCGCAAGGCGGGAAGATCTACCGCCGCCTCCGGTGCGAGCTGTGACGGGGACGACGGCGACGAAGAACACGGCGACGAGGGCGACGAAGAACACGGCGACGACGGCGAGGAGGATTGGCCGGAGAACGGCCACGTCGATAGCGCTTCGGGGGATGAAATAGCTCCTGCCGACATCGACGAGGAAGACTGGTGGAATCGGACGGTTGGGAGTGACGACGAAGTGGAAGAGTGGCGGGCTGGTGATTCGGACAACGACGAGGTTGCCGATGCTAATGGTGAGCACGCGGAGGCAGCGGCGCATGCAATGGGAGCGACGGTGGATGCGAATGCGGAGCTTGACGACGAGGCGGATGCGGAAGCGAGGACGGAAGAGGAGGCGGAAGCGGATGCCGATGCTGTTGCGCCCACGGATGTGGCCGCAATTGCGGATGCGGATGCTGTGGTGGAGGCGGATACGGATGCTGCGGAGGGAGGTGCTGATGCTGTCTTATTTGATGGTGAAAACTCCAATGACGACCCGTGGAACACCGCGGGTGACGACGATGTTCCGCTTCTGAAGCGGAGGCTGCGTCATCGCCTACAGTCCAAGCCGAAGCGTGCCCGCGTGGTGCTCCCTGATGACGACAGTCCGGGGGAGGAGCGTCAACCGCGCATCACTGCTGCAGACAAGGGGAAAACCAAGGTCGCGGAAGCCCCCCTATTTATAAGAAAACCCCTAAACCCCTGCTCTGATTATAAGATATATATGTCTTATCTCGTACACACAAATAGGTGTCTTATAATGAGGCTAGCCTGTTTATAAGAGACACCCAGATAATAGACAACCCCTGACTACAATTCAACACTGTCTACTATTTGGGCGATGACAGTATTTAGCTAGGTAAGGATTTTCGCTCCTGTCCCGCCTACCTCTTTCTCCACCTCCTGCCATGTGTCTTGTCTCTTCCCCCTGAGTTCGTTGTCCCTCTCGTGCTCGCCCCCCGTCTCTCGTGTCCGGTATCCACTATATGCTCCTCCATTCTCTTCCCCCTCGTGTTCTGGTTCCCTCTATTCGCTCATCGCCTCCTCCGTCGTCCCTTACTATCTCCTCTCCTCTGTTCTCTGATAACCTCCATGCTATTCGTTGTCGTGTCCTTTCCTCCCTCGTTGCTGACCCTTCTGCTCCTCCTTCATCTATCTCTGCTCTTGCCCATCTTCCGTCCGTCGGGGGTGTTCATGCTCTTAACAGTGACGTATTAGAGGACATGCAGTTCGAACGGTCCTACTTTGCGGCCGCTCTTCCTCATATTTGTGCCATGAGGGAGGTCCAGATGCTCTTGACATCCCGACCTCTCACAATTACGCTAAGGCAGTCTCACGACCTTGGGCCTCTCAGTGGATAGCGGTCATGGACATAGACATGGCATCTTGGAGTCCCACGGACACATACGTTGACGCAGTTCCCTATCCTGGGGTGAACCTGGTCAATAGAACGTGGATCTTTATAGTGAAATGGCCACTCGGCGAGCTGCCTGTCTTCAAGGCGTGCTATGTAGTTAAAGGTCAGTCAGTGAGAGGGGGTGGACTTCTTTCGGACCTTATCCCCCACCCCGAAAATGATCGCTCTTCAGGTACTGCTGCACCTCGTTCTGAAGAGCTTAAAGCTTGAAATTTCGCTTGCTAGTCCGTTCTGCCCTGCCCTGCCCGTCGTGCTGCCTGCTTGCTGCCTAGCTGCACGCGCGTTGCCTAGCTGCACGCGCGCTGCCTGCTGCCTAGCGCATTGCCCGCCCGCGAGCCTGCGCCCCTACCCGCACACTCTGCCTGCCCGCAAGCGCCACTGCGCCCATGCCCGCGAGCGCCACGGCGCCCCTGCCTGCGAGCGCCACTGCGCCCCTGCCCGCTTGCGCTGCCCGCCAGCAGCCCTGTGCCCTCACCTGCGCGGCCCCTCCTGCTGCATGCGCTGCTGCTGATAAGCGCTGCTGCGGCTGCTGCTGCTGAACGCGCTGCTGCGGCTGCTGCTGCTGAACGCGCTGCTGCTGCAAGTGTTCCTGCTGCTGCGCCTGAGCTGCTCCTGCCACACGCGCTGCGCTAAGCGCTGCTGCTACCTGCTACTGCTGCTGCTGAGCGCGGCTACTGCTGCAGAACGCGCTGCTGCTGCTACTGCTGCTACAAGCGTTCCTGCTGCTGCGCCTGAGCTGCTACTACCACGCGCGCTGCTACGCTATGCCCTGCCGAGCTGCACTGCCCAGCCTGCGTCGCGCCGCCCTACCAAGCCGCACCACCCTGCCGAGCCGCGCCGCCTTGCCCGAGCCGCGCTGCCGTGCCCCTATTGAGCCGCACTGCCGTGCTGCCGCCACTGCTGCTCCTGCTACTGCTGCTACTGCTGCTACTGCTGCTACTATGACTACCATCTCAGTTCTTAGCTTTGATGGGGAGAGTCGCGCTATTAATTTTGAAGTTTGGCTCGATGATCTCCAACTGTTCCTACAGAGCGAGTCTAGGGATGGTGTTTCTTTGTTCGTTCACACAGAGGGATCCCTCCCAGCCCCCACTGACACAGCGCACGCAGATCATTCAAAGTGGCTCATGCGTGATGCCACTGCCTGCCTTGCTGTCCGCAACCACCTTCCAGTAGCAGAAAGGGCACATTTTAGCCAGCAGAAAACGGCCAAAGCTCTTTATGACGCAGATGTCGCTCGCTACTCCTCCCTAGCTACTGCTGCCCTAGGCCGTCTCATGCTGCCGTACCTGCATCCTGAGCTAGCCGATTTCCACATTGTATCTGACCTCTTTATCCACCTCCGCTTTAGTGAGGCTCGCTACCGCGCCGCTCTCAAGCCGACCTTTCTCGCTGCGAACCCCCCCCCCCCCCCCCCCCCCCCCCCCCCCCCCCCCTGCTGTATATCACCCTGTACTTCCTCGTCACTCATCTCCCTGACTCCTTTCGCACTGTCAGGGACCAGTTCCTAGCCCTTGACCCCATTGAGCTCACGCTTGACTCGCTCGAGAAGTCCCTTCTCGAGGCTGAGAAGAGCACTGTCGTTGTCGCTGCCTCTCGTGGCACTCCCCGCTCCCCCTTCTTTGAAGGATGTGCTCCCTCCCCTCTCCTCCCCTCAGTTGCTACTGCTGCTACTATCGACCTCCTTGGTGCTGCGGAAGTTGGCGCTGCATCTGCTCCCAGTGGGAGGTGCAACAATAGCAAGGGCAAAGGGGGCAAGGGTGGTGGGGGCGGCACCCGCGGTGGAGGTGGCGGGGGTGGTGGTGGCGGGGGTGGAGGCGGTGGTGGTGGCTCTGGGGGTGGAGGCAGTGGAGACGTACGGGGTGGTGGAGGCGGCGGGGGTGGTGGAGGCGGCGGAAATGGTGGAGGCAGCTGGGGTGGTGGAGGCAGCGGGAACGGTGG